CCACGACCCCTTCAATTTGCACATATGCGATCCCTTTCGCTTCAACTTTTTCAATGAGGCTCAACACCAAATACTACGCTCCCAAATTGCAAATACGACCCACGTTTAACGAATTCAGGTGGACGGCTGAGTGGCACCTCCTCATGAATCAACTAGCTGAGTATGCAACATTTTTGACATCTTGGCAAATCTAGAGCGTGTGGAAAGACCGGCCGGAGGATATGACTGACTGACTTCAGTTTTTACTTGTCTTCGAAACCAACATAGAAAAAGAGGTGGCGGATACTGCCAATGAGATATGCCAGGGTTGAAATTGTAGCCCAGGTGCACCCCTAAACGCAGGTTATAGGCTCCGATCGCTTCTCCTTTTACTTGTTGAGAGGGTCTGAACAATGCTTTTGAGTTGTGGTTTGGATTGGTCATGTACTTAACCACGAACATTTGCTCGACGACAATTGAGCGAAGAACGTTCGCGACTTCTTACATAATTCGCCTGCATTTTGAACAATGGCTTTCTCCAGCACGTGCTATCATTCGTCCGTCATGTAAGGGTGCATTCCGTAACACTACGCACTACCAGGGTGAATAACGGTCGAGGAATTCCTCGACCACGTTGCTCTCTACTACGTGCGAGAGTAGTGTCGACAGTGAATGCATGCGCGGAGAGCACAGACGGCTCGCGGGTTGCGAGAGTGAGCATCCGCGTGGGAGAGCGTCGAAAGATCATCCGACAAGCCGTTATCGTTTCCTCAAGCGATTTTCACCTACCACCACTCTCAACATTTTCAAGTCTAACCTTCATGTCCAGCCAGACCGTGTGTCCGGAGTTGACATGTCCTCTCTGAATTATCTGGAATGCCTTTTACTCGCACGTCATTCAGCTGCCATGACCAGTCCACTTTTTCGAGGAAGGTCATTGAATGTACTTTGCCTCAACCTAACGGTCTGGCAGTATTAGCGTTGGAGCTTTAGAAACCAGTCGATTTCGGAATGAACTCACGAGCGGCCGGTGATGCTTGGTGTAGAAATCCAGTTCGTTTCGAATGAATTGAAACTATTGACCAGATAAACCCGATGAAACTATGGAGCTAACAAATCATGTGAAAAACAATTATGATGAAGGCTGTTATCATTCGAGAAGCCTTTCCAGATGCGTACATAGGCACGCTTCTAAAAGCCCAATACTGTATTTGTTTTTACCTTGTGCAGGCAAAGTGCGCATTGGATTAGAACTGTAGTAGTTCTGAACGGGAGTCGAATATGTGGCGCGTACCAAAATAACACCAGTCAACTCAATACATTGAAGGCAATAGGAATAAGAACTTCAAACGTAAAGCAAGCAACGGTCAACGGTTTTCCTGCAGAACAGAAAGCTAACGATTCTTGTCTCTATTTTCAGATCGCAAAAGAAGCGTTGACGCGTGACATCATAATGGCCAAATCGAATCAAAGATGCCCGATATTCGCCTGGGCTAGTCATTTTCAGGTCGAATTCATTTTCTCTACCACATCAACTCTGCTTTGATGACGGATTCCGCCTTCAGATCACTTTCAAGTCCGGAATTTTCGAATCTGAATCCGTCTTCACAATGAGTGGATCGCCTGATGTAAGTGAAATGACTACAGGTCAGGGCAAAAGATAAGACTAAGTGATGAAAGCGAGCCTCGCTATGAGCTCCACTTCCCCTATTTCATAACTCTCGCTAACGGTAATAGACATGGGAAAGGGGCGAGTGAAATACGGCTGCGCAAATGGTTCGATTGATACATCGTTATTTACGAGTGGTGGTGTGCTAAACGAACTCCCTTCGTCTGTTTTTGAATTTTTATTCCCTTGTTATCACATGACAAAATGTTCTAGTGTTTTTTTTACCACCAGTTATTGTATTCAAGTACAAGCAGGCACTCTCTGCTTCAGAAAACCAGAAGCGCGTCGAGTGCAAAGCAGACACCACTAGTGACGACGGCCTTCAAGTAAATTTTGTAACTAGTGATTCATAGTGACCAGTTTAGCTCCGCCCGCTACCGCGCGCATGACACGGAAGCCTCTGACAAAACTGACAATCGGTGAAGCTTTGGGTTTCACCGCTTAACTATAGCTGCTTCGTTAAATGCATTACTGTCCGTTGCCCATCTTGGCTGTATCTCACTGTTTGATAAGCGCAGTGAAGTGCACAGCTAAAGTGATGTATGTAAACAACCACCATGCATCGAGAATCGAGGAAATTTTAGCGGTCGAATAATTTTTGGTAATCTCAAGACGGAATGCCCAGTATTCACTATCAAATTTATTCGAGCATCCCATTCATCCTCAAGAACTCTAGAAGGTGTAGCGGTTGAAAGGTGTTTGAATTTACAATTATAACGCTAATGAAATGATATTGAAATGAAATGCATTATCTGCAATCTGGTTTCGAGTAATCTCTACGTTCGTACGCATATCGTAATTATCAGTCCTCATCTGTCGTTATCACTTTTTGACCCCCACAAAATATGTTACCGTCCACCCCCATATCATGTCCCAAAATCAGTTCCTGACGACTGCTGCGAAGCGCACTATGAATTTTGTGAAAATTGTGTTTCAGCGCCTCTTATCTGCTCATATCAGTCGTTATCACTTTGTGACCCCCACCAAATATGTTCCCGTCCCACCCCCTATATCATATCTTGAAACCAACTCCTGACGACCACTGGTGCCCGAGCTATGAATTTCGCGACACTTGCGTTCTAGCGCCTTTTATCAGCCCTTATCAGTTGTTGATCACTTTCTTTACCCCACCAAATATGTTCCCGTCCCACCCCCTATATCATATCTTGAAACCAACTCCTGACGACCACTGGTGCCCGAGCTATGAATTTCGCGACACTTGCGTTCTAGCGCCTTTTATCAGCCCTTATCAGTTGTGATCACTTTCTTTACCCCACCAAATATGTTCCCGTCCCACCCCCTATATCATATCTTGAAACCAACTCCTGACGACCACTGGTGCCCGAGCTATGAATTTCGCGACACTTGCGTTCTAGCGCCTTTTATCAGCCCTTATCAGTTGTGATCACTTTCTTTACCCCACCAAATATGTTCCCGTCCCACCCCCTATATCATATCCCAAAATCAAGCTCCTGACGACTGCTGGCGAAGCGCACTATGAATTTCGCGACACTTGCGTTCTAGCGCCTTTTATCAGCCCTTATCAGTTGTTATCACTTTCTTTACCCCACCAAATATGTTCCCGTCCCACCCCCTATATCATATCTTGAAACCAACTCCTGACGACCACTGGTGCCCGAGCTATGAATTTCCGGTCAGACAGACAAACACATACACACACACACAGACACACACACACACAACCGCTTAGCCGATTATATATAGTAAGGATAGGTTGACGGATGGTAAAATAACATGTAATTAGTAACAACTGCAAGAATACAACTGAAACTGGTTAAATCATTTTATTGGCTGGGAACATACACTGTTTGTATAGGCCGTCGCCACTTGTGGTGTGTGGTCTGCACTCGACGCGCTTCTGGTTTTCTGAATGAGATTGTGTATCTTCGCCGGTTTTACAACCATTTAATAAAAGCGCTACTCAATGCTCGATTCAAATTGACAATTGCGCACACTTCGGTGATTTAGGCTAAAGGAGAGGAGATGTACATACGCTTCCACAGTGAAAAACCAAAGATGAGGTACTGCAGTTCTGGTGAGTCATGAAATATAACCCAACGATTAGCTTTTCAAACACTACGGGGTAACTCGTCGCCATACATGACAAAATACATCGCGAGCGACACTTCCTTCTACCCTCAAAAGGCACGTCTGCAATTAGCGTCTCCCTGCAGTGGCGCAACGGCTGCTCACTTTAAAGGACGAATTCACGATGAAAAAGCAACCCATTTCAAATTAACCTAGGGATGGTGAGTGGTACACGAAAGAAGGAAGAACCATGAGAAACGGCCCAGAACCCGAGAAATGGTACCCCTTCCTTGCCCGTTGATTCGAGCATTGATGCGACTCTCATCGCTGTGCCCTCTTCAACACTACGCTCTCTCAGCTATCTAATCACTCGCCACGTATTGAACTACGGCGAGTGATCAGATGATCGGTGGGCGGAGATCGCCGGACCCGCCAGCTTTGAGGCATGATAGGTCGCCGAGGTCAAATTTTTCCATGCGAATTGCGCGTCAGTTCGCACCCTCAGGAGGTCCGTGGGTCCCTCAACTAGGTCAGTTTCCCTTTCTTCGACCTTCATTCTAATCGTGAATTCCTCCCTTTAAATAAGCTGTTTCAACAATGAAACGAACAAAGCATGGTTAAAGGAGGAATTCACGATTAGAATGAAGGTCGAAGAAAGGGAAACTGACCTAGTTGAGGGACCCACGGACCTCCTGAGGGTGCGAACTGACGCGCAATTCGCATGGAAAAATTTGACCTCGGCGACCTATCATGCCTCAAAGCTGGCGGGTCCGGCGATCTCCGCCCACCGATCATCTGATCACTCGCCGTAGTTCAATACGTGGCGAGTGATTAGATAGCTGAGAGAGCGTAGTGTTGAAGAGGGCACAGCGATGAGAGTCGCATCAATGCTCGAATCAACGGGCAAGGAAGGGGTACCATTTCTCGGGTTCTGGGCCGTTTCTCATGGTTCTTCCTTCTTTCGTGTACCACTCACCATCCCTAGGTTAATTTGAAATGGGTTGCTTTTTCATCGTGAATTCGTCCTTTAAGGTGACTCCATCGAAAATGAACTGACGCTTAGACCATGCAGGTTTCACGTAATAACTTAATATACATAGTCTCTCATTCCAGTGTATGAAGTCGATATTAATAAAGACGAAAAACTGTTTTCGCTATTATCGGGCTTGCCTTACGCTTAGAGACTGAAGTGACTGATTAAGGCCGCACTGGAATACTTGAGGTGCCCACCAACGCCAGCAGTGTTTTCCTCTACTTCGTCATTGACGTGGAGCGATCGATTACTGGTCCTCAACTAGTCGAGATGATCAGAGAAGTACAAAAGGTAAGACTGGAGGTTTAGCTCACGGGTGTCAGCTCAAACTCATTTTCAAATGGGTGTAATCGTTCCCCTAGTCAAGTCAGAACGCCTCTGTTTGATGCACCACTGTTTTGCTTGTTGCAGGCCTAGGATTGAGTCAAAGTCTAATCCTAAGCTTAAGCTTGAGCTTATTTCCTGCCTAAGGGTGTAGGCATTAACTCAAGCCTCGGCTCAATCTCAGACTCAATCATCGTGCAGCTCTGATGAACTGACCTATCGAGAGAACTGAATGCCTCCCATTCAGACTACGCCGGAAACCCACACAGCGTACATTCCAATATGGTGGCCACACGACAGTGTATCTAACGTTGCTAAGGGTATTAAGGTGAGAGCATGAAGCGCTCAGTAAGTCCTTAATACGAGAAGAGCATTTCAGAATTCTTTGGACGCGGAACCACTCTTTTCGCACGGAGGCTTCGGAGATTTTGCTATGGAAGAACGCAGAAGTAGCTTGATTTTCCGTTATTTATTGCATGCTTGTAAATCATTGTTGAAGGCTAATCGCACACTTAAAATACACCCATGCGACCTTCACTCAGATTGATTCTAGGAGAAACTGCATCTTTGCCACATTTACTAGTAGAACCGACCGTTATTCGTGCTTTCTGAAAAGTCACCCAACGAACCCAAGATTGACTGGGACCTCAACCTGAATGTGTCACCAGTGTTGCAGATCTGAGACATGCTCCAATGTCATCACCGAATCATTGAATTTGGTCAATTCCGTCGCCTTTCTGACAAAAATGATAAAATCTGATGATTTGAACGAGCCAACGTGCAGGGTACACCAAAAATTTCCTTTCTATAAAATCAGTGAATATATTAGGGTATGAGTTTTCAACAACAGATTATCAATATAACGCCAAACCACAAGAAGCCATAGGTTCATAATCAAATGTCTTTTTGTGCTCATACGCTCTCCCGGAATATTTTTTTTATTTCGAGATAATGTGAAGTCGTCCACCGTGGCGCAAAAATATTGGGAAGGAATTCTTCTCAAACTTTGTGCAGGTTCCACTTCAGTGTTTCGATTGAATGATGTGGCAGGCCATGCTCTCCGAGAAGGGCCAGGTGGAGAAATTGAGTGGGTTCCAGTGAGCGTCCTTATGATGCCTGGCCGGGGTGCCCAGAGCACTAACCGGTCGTTGTGCGAATGTGTGACAAAGTGAGCGAGCTCGGTTTCGAAATCACAACTGTCGGTTCGCGCAAGCATCTCTCTCTTAGAGCTGTCGGCCGAGCACAGACCTACACGTCTAGCAACATCCACATTTAGTAGAGCGCTGGCCGCACTCAAAAATTGAGTTTTTATTAAAGAACCACAGACAGTGAAAATAAACAAATTACAAAACACAGAGGGAAATTGGCATCTCCCCTTTCAAGCAATCACTTTAGCGAAAGCGACTAAAACTTGCCTTTCCATTAACATAACGCATCATTTCGATCGAACTTTTACAAGTAGTACATCTGATATCATCAAAAACATCGAGAATCATCGAAAACATTTTGTCGCGTCCGAGTTTTGCCTGCTTTCCAGCTGTGAGGCAGTGCCGCCTGCAAAATCGTTTTGGTCCCATGCAGCGCAAAAACCCGTCAAACGCGTGTTTTCGTTAAGGAGTTGAATGAAATGTTTCCGATAAAGACTGTCCTTCAACTAAGTCATGGTTCTCAGCATTCACCATGCAGGTGTGAACAATTGGGATTATTTCAGGCAAGCGCTGAATTCAGCAAGAAGTTCACATCGAGTATTCAGCACTTTGACACAATAACCGTCTTCCATACTCCGGACACGACCAGTATGTACGTATCAAAGCTTTTTTCTGCATTTTCAGCCCCTACCAGAGGGTTGGCATACAGCATGGAAAGTTGTACGTTTTCAGACAACGCATGGTTCTACAATCACCTCCCTTCAATGTAGCTCACATCAAATGTCCCTACACAGTGATCATATACGATGACAAGAAGAAAATGCCGGTTTATTTTGGGAGGTATTGAAAGGTGTTGCTTGCTTTAGACATCTCGTAGATGATACTTCTCCAGAATAGTACGCCCAAAAGCTGCCGACACGAAGACACAGACCGTCGTGATGCAAAACCGATCACAGCCAACAGACCAAATCGATGGTGTCATTTAATGTGATGGTCATTAACTTTAACTCTAGCACTATTTACCAATATCTAACGCACAATTATAATTACTGAATTAAATGCACTAATGAGCTTGTCGAATCTATTCTCCGAAATTAATTTGATAAATTATCAGTTTTATAGTGTTCAGACTTCATAAATGCCAATGTCGATGAACAATTAGAGTTATCACATTTCTTTTCAGGCGGTTTTTTAAGCGATTTACTCCGACCGATCGTATAGAGCTGCACAAATATGAACGCAAACAATCGTAGAAATTTCGAATCCTAAGGGCCCAACGCACGAAAATACAGTGCGACGTAGCCCAATTTGCAGTACCAACTCTCGGGCAAATTTTGGACTGATTCAGCATTATACCTGCACCGAAAACAATGGAAATACGGCGTTGAAGGGCGCTTGTGAGCAAAATGCGCGACTGAAACGCTATATTTGCATTGTCGTCAGCTAGGAAAGGTGGCCACACGCGGGCTGAGATGAGGTGGCACACTACGCATCGAGATGAGACGCTAAGTTCAAGCCTGCGCTTGATTATTTGCTAAAATCTTCTTAAAGATGTTATGGGGGAGGGTTTCTTTGCCGCCCTGGATTTTTAGTGTTTTGCCTGCATTCAAATGTAGGCTCCATTACAAACGTCACGTGAATAAACGTGGTAAGCTCCGGTAACGCAGCGGGCACCGGTCTTGCTTCTCCAGCAGGGGTTAATGGTTCATTCTATTCCGGAGCTTGTGTTTTGCTTATTTTTTAAGCGGAGAGGTTTTTTGAATCCGTTATCTTGTCCTGAAGCTACAACTCCGGAGAGTTTGCAAGCGGATCCTCTTAATTTTGAGCACTACTTGCTTATGAGTGTCCACGGTTCCCAGTGCAGGTATCAGCTTTTCCGTAGCAAGTAGGTACCATCTTTCGAGTTTGGCGGATCAAGCTCCCCCAAAAAACGAGTTCCTAGCCAATCCGGAGGTTATGATCCACTTGAGAAAGAAAGCAGCAGTGATGGTGATACCATCCTCAAACTCCAAATTTAGGCTGACCAATCCTTAGACCATGGGAAGAGGGCAGGAGGGGAGGATTGTATTTCTTGAAAATAGTGTGTAGCAGATCCTAGGATGATGCAACTGGGCAAGCCATACACTATTCTCGTATTTTCCGAAGTGTGTTCTAAAAGTCTACTCTATCTTAATGTCTATCTTAATGTAAGCCTTTCGTAATGGGATTGATGGATTAATGAGTAAGTGACCGCCCAAATTTTCGCTTAGGGGGGTCAAAGACATTTGGCCTGCCCGAAAAGAGTACGACTCCCCGATTACGAATATCACGCCTCGGAATTCGGGGCGAAAACGTCTGGTTTCTGCGAGAGAGTGATAAAATATTCGGGAGCGATGCCGCCCAAACTAATTGCCCACGAAGTCTTTGCACGGCGGGTAGCTATACGCAAGCATGTTAGCGTAGCGATGATCGGAATCTTCCTAGCTTTGATACCGAAAGCGGCAAAAGATTAAGCGCGCCAGGGAGTCGAACTCATGACCTCTTTTTTAGTGAGCCTCAATCACTACTCAGCGCTTTCCTCATAGTTCTTTACAGAGAGTTTAGCGAACAAGGAAATCGTATTTGAGCTCAGCGCTCCAAGGAGTGTCTACTCATCTGATCTCTGACATACGCATCTCGTTTCAATTGAACGGATTGACCGGACACCTTTCCTGGTAAGTAGTTGGCAGTGAATAGCAGGTAAACCCAGGACCACACATTAGCAGAATGAGGACATCAACTACAAATAATCGGTATTTCAAGAAATACACAATCAATCTGTATCTTCCCTCATCAGCTATTTATCTAGTCTCTCAAGCGCCAGTGTCGTTTCCATTCGTCCCATCGCGGACCAGAGTGGCTCTAGTGGATCCATCTCACTTGGTGGACACGCAGCCCGTCACTAGTTTTGTTCAGAATTTATGTGAAGATGTCTGACCATTTGGTTTGGGCGACCATCTGGGTGGTGGGACCTTCCAATGGATTCAAAGGGTAACCGGTAAGTCGAGAAGGTCATTGCAAGATCACATCGTGAGCCCTGCTCACCTGATCTTGAGTGCCTTAACAAAAACCATCAAAGAAAGCGGGTGGACTTTGCGCTGAATCACTTCTTTCGGTTTTGATTTTGCATAGATCCTGTCGTTCTGTTTATTGAGCACCTGTTCCACAGTAAATATCTTTTCGTCGGTAAATAAAATTTCCCTATGACGGTTTCTTCGAAAACGACGTAACAATTGTTGAGAGCGGTCCTTTCTCTTCTTTTTGGCTTCATTACTCAGAAACTGGCCTTTCGATTGTTTGAAGGCTTTCTCCTCATGTAAGTGATCTATCACAATTCTTCGCACAGAACTTCGTGAAATGTTCATTTCTTTAGCCATTTTTCGTACAGAACGAGCTCCATTGCGGCGCATCCTCTCGGCCCTCTCTCTTAATATTCGTCCTGATGTAACCGTATTCTTCCTACCTCTACCTTTCCTATCAGCGATTGTTCCCAACCCTCTCAAAGCGTCTGATGGTCGACCATACAAGTTGTTTTCTTACGTGGAGCCGTCTGCAGATGTCCCGTGCCAAAAGTCCTTGCAAATGCAAAGTGATGATTGGTTCACGATAGGCTGACGCTTTCATTTTTTTTCCAAAATTTGCCGAACTTTTAGTGTCAGTCGGAAGCCAATTGTCTAATCTCTAGGTATGTAATGCAAAAAACCGGTTCGGGATTCGAAAGATCGAAAAAAAAAGCGATAAGCGCGCTCGCACGCGCGGTCCATAATTTTGGACCACCCTGTATTATGCAAAAGACCGTTCAGGAAAAGGCGCTTCCTGGAAGGCCTTTTCGGTGAGTGGATGTGGTGGATAGGGCTAGATTCTCTTCGACACCATGCTTTCTCAGATGTGTTCTTCATCCAGTGCTACTGCCACTCTGTGACCCATTGCGGACCTCCAATATATGTACTATGTGCATCTCATAAGTTTCTGTAGTCTGTTTTATCGATGACCAATAATCTACATAGCAGTAACTAATTTTAGTTTTTCTTTCTTATCCGAAAATATGTCATAATTTCTGTGCTCGGAAATTGATCGACGAAATGTTATCACGATTAGAAAAATTGAAAATAAGTTGAAGGTAATGATGCATCGTTTG